TTTTTTTTGCGGTACCCGGGCCTCTCACTGTTGTGGCCTCTCCCGTTGCGGAGCACAGGCTCCGGACGCTCAGGCTCAGCGGCCACGGCTCACGGGCCCAGCCGCTCCGCGGCATGTGGGATCTTCCCGGACCGGGGCATGAACCCGTGTCCCCATTGGCAGGCGGACTCTCAACCACTGTGCCACCAGGGAAGCCCTGGTTCCTGTTTTTAAAAACCGTTTTTAATAGATAAAGCCAGAAACAATGTAAGTGTATAACAATAGGAACTGGTTAGATTATGATAAACCTGTACAGTTATGTGCCATGACCATTCAATATTCTTGAAGTATATTGACATATATACTATGGAAGGATGCTCATAATATATTGTTAAGTAAAAATAGTTCATTACAGAGTTATAAAAGAGATAAGATCTAATACTGTTTACTAGGTTCTGGACACTGTACTAAGTTTTTTCCAGCTTTTATTTCATTTGATCTTCATGTTTTTAATTTATGTATATATATTCAATTACATATACATTCATAGAACACAGGTTATTTTCTAATACTTTTTAGAAGTTTTATTGAGATGTAATTGGCATAGAATAAACTTGTACATATTTAAAATGTAGAAGTTGATAATTTTAGACATTTAGACACACTTGTGAAACCATCAACAAAATCAGTATAATACACATTATCATACCCAAAAGTTTTGTTGTGCTCCTTGGTAATCTCTCCCTTTTTCCTCTTCTTACCCCACCTCTACTGCTGTAGAAAATCAGGAAAGATCAGGAAACCATTGATCTGCTTTCTGTCACTATAAATTAGTTTGCATTTTCTAGAATTTTATATAAATGGAGTCATATAGCATATACCTTTTCGGTTTTTTTTTTTCCTCCACTCAGCATAATTATTTTGAGATTCATGTATGTTGGGTGTATCAATAGTTCATTTTATTGCTGAGTAGTATCCTATTGTATGGCTATATACCACATTTAAAAAATTTTTTTTTAATTTATTTAATTTATTTTTTTGGCCATGCCGCGTGGCTTCTGGGATCATAGTTCCCCGGCCAGGGATTGAACCCGTGCCCTCGGCAATGAAAGCATGGAGTCCCAAACCACTGGACCACCAGGGAATTCCCTATACCACAATTTGACTGAACTAAATTACACGCAAAAATGTTTGTCTCTATTAGGAGAATTATGCAGCAATTTTCATGAAGTTTTTTAAGCAGTAGCACCTTTGTTTTTTGTGTGGGAAATAGCCATTGGGTTTATGAGATCCAGATTTAATTATTGTTGGGAAGGGAGTCCATTGTGGTGTGAGGATATGCATGGGAGACAACAGGCTCTCAATGAAAACTGATAGAGGAGAAACTTAGGAGGAGCCTGCAAAGACATTGTGTTTGATTCTGGAGATTTTCAAATCTCTCCGGATCTATCACGTAAAGGACTACTGTAATGTTAATTCTGGGTGACCTGCTGATTGAAAAAAGTATTAAACTAGATATCAGAAGATATGCATTGTAATCCTAGTTGTGTCACCTACTAGCTATATGACTTAATAAAGTCATCACCTCTCTGAACTTCATATTCCTTTTATATAAGGGTTAGTATAAGAACTGTGGATCTGCCAGGCCTGCTAGTTATGTAGTGCACATTGTGCTTTAGAGAGGGATAGCCATCTTGTTAAGTGAAGGGAGGGTGGGGGGCTGAACTCCAGTGTACTCTGCAGCAAGCTGTGTGTTGTAGCCTGAGGCTGTACTGCCCAGAGCAGGGATGCCTTTTTCAGCTTCTCACAGAGGCCCATCTATTCATCAAGCAGACACAGCAGCACTAAGTCTTCCTGGGTAGGAGGTAAGGTAAGGGTGAAACACTATTAATTTGTTCAAAGATGCTGTATAGGTAATGGTGGCTTTGTCCATGCCTGCCTCACAGGATATGGAGAACAACAGTGTGTGAAAATGCCTTGAAAAGTATAGTGTTACACAAATATAATGTCTTGCTATTTTGCTGTTCATCTGTGGTTTATTTTAGGGTAGATACGACAAGAATTGAATACTCCATTCCTTTAAGAGAAAACTGGGCACTACCATATTTTGCATGCCAAGTTGCTGCACTTACAGGCTATTTAAAAAGCAACTTAAATTCTTATGGAGAGGTAAGATACAAATTTATTTGTCACAATTCTGGTGTATTGCAAATGTGGTACATTGTTTTAAAGTTATTCATATTAAGAGTTAAATTATATTCAGTGAAACCTGGTTACTACACCGTAAAGGATATAGTTAGGTAGTCTTGTTATAACTGTTGTTCTGTAATCTGATTGACAGTAAATTATATTTATGAGAATGGAGATGTTATATTGTTTTAGTGCAGTTACTTGACAAATATATGAAGAATATCTTATTTTGAAAATTAATCTGTCTCGTTATTTTACCATTTCTCTCACTATTGGAACATTGATGGCCTTTAATCATCACAAGTTGAAGAATATTAATGAAGATATAAAGAGTGACTACAAGGGACAACAATGGTAGCATTGCATATTTTGTTGGCCCGTATGTTTTCTGTGACTGAGGTGTAGGTAAGCTAGTGAGCTTCAGGAGACTATCCTGGATAGTTTAGATTCTTACTGTTGTTGTGCTGTTGTTGTTCTTGCCATAAGGCCTTTCAGCAGTCAAGTGAAGCTTAGAGACTCTGTCTCAGAATAATGATTTTAAATGCATACAATAAATGTGATTATAAAAGGCAACCAATTACACTGAAATTGACTTAAATTTAGCAATCCTTTGACAGTCTGGCTGTCTTAGGTTAAGAATTCCTGGCTAGAAAAAGGGACTGTAGGGACCTGGTTGGCCAGGAAATTGTATTTACTTATGGTTCCTTTTTGAAATCTCTGAAAAATGTTCTTTCCTCCTTTCAGTGATGTCAGATGTCCTGAGCATAGCAAACGTTATTTCATTTTTTATAACACTAGTATTTCCTTTTTTATCTAAAATAATAAGAACACATTTCAGATTTGTAATTTTCCTTTTGTTGGTTTTGTATAAACAGCTTTCTGAGAAAGAATATTTTCTATAATAGGGAGTCTTTGATTGTTTTCCTGTTAGATTGTGTAACTGCCTCTTAGGAAAGAATAGTTCTTCAGTTTTTTGTTTTGTTTTGTTCTGTTTTTTTGCGGTTCGCGGGCCTCTCACTGTTGTGGCCACTCCCGTAGCGGCCTCTCCCGTTATGGAGCACAGGCTCTGGACGTGCAGGCTCAGCGGCCATGGCTCACGGGCCCAGCCACTCCGCGGCATGTGGGATCTTCCCGGACCAGGGCACAAACCCGTGTCCCCTGCATCGGCAGGCAGACTCTCAACCACTGCGCCACCAGGGAAGCCCAGTTCTTCAGTTTTTGAATAAAAGTGTATAATATAGCAATATGAACTGCCTAAGCTTCTTTGTAGTTACCATTATTTTGAATTAATATGAAAGTTTTGTTGCCAAAAAAAAGGTTTATCAAATATTTATTTTATTTTATTTTACTTTTGGCCATACTGCCCAGCACGTGGGATCTTAGTTCTCCGACCAGAGATTGAACCCGTGCCCCCTGCAGTGGAAGCGTGGAGTTTTAACCACTGGACCGTCAGGGAATTCCCTTTCAAATATCTTTTTAATAAAACATTATTCTTATTTATTTTAAAAGAAGGAGTTTTGGAAAAGGTAGAATGAAATGTAAAATTATTTTTTCCCTTCTATACTATATTTTATATTTTTCTGAATAACTTTTTTTTATTGCCATGTTATGTATTTATTCTTTCTACTATTTTTTAATTTTTTAAATTAATTAATTTATTTTTGCGGTACACGGGCCTCTCACTGTTGTGGCCTCTTCCGTTGCGGAGCACAGGCTCCGGACGTGCAGGTTCAGCGGCCATGGCTCACGGGCCTAGCCGCTCCACGGCATGTGGGATCTTCCCAGACCAGGGCACGAACCCATGTCCCCTGCATCGGCAGGCGGACTCTCAACCACTGCACCACCAGGGAAACCCCTAGTATTTTTTTAAATTCTAACTTTTTTAAATTAAAAAAGTAATACAGGGGATTACCTGGTGGTGCAGTGGTTAAGAATCCGCCTGCCAATGCAGGAGACTTGGGTTTGATCCCTGGTCTGGGAAGATCCCACATGCCGCGGAGCAGCTAAGCCCATGCACCACAACTACTGAGCCCACATGCCGCAACTACTGGAGCCTGCACACCTAGAGCCCGTGCTCTGCAACAAGAGAAGCCTCCACAATGAGAAGCCTGTGCAGCACAACAAAGAGTAGTCCCCGCTCGCTGCAACTAGAGAAAAAGCCTGTGTGCAGCAACGAAGACCCAATGTAGCCAAAAATATATATATATAAATAAATAAATTTTTTAAAATAGTAATACATTCACATTGTACAGATGGTAAAAAAGAATTCAGTCATTGCAAATGGATAGGTATACAGTGAAAAGTATATTTCCGTTCAGTTTACTGTTGTTTACCAAGGACCTGGTGCTTTTTGAAGGGATCCAAGAATAGCTTATACTCCTATTTTAGTTTACATTTTGTTTCTCCTTTTTTATTTAACCACAATTATTTTTCTGTATTTTGAAAGTATTCCATAATATTCTCCCTTCTTCCCTCCCTTCCTCTTTCTCTTTTTTCCTCTCTTCGTGTTAAGGTAAAGGAGGAAAATTGTCCTTATCAGTTATTTGATTATTTATAACTAACCACTCATCTGGTATTCAAGAGTACACTGCAAGAGCAAAATATCTATGAAAATATTAAAGGGGTAACAATATTAAGGATTCTATAAAAACATGGTAGTAAAAAAAAGCAAGTTTACTGTATTCTTAACCCTTCAGCTTAAAACTCAATTTTTTAAAAAGCAAAACTGCTCTTTCTGCCTATGCTGCTGCCATGGTGCCCGTTAAAAATCTCGTGGCACAGGGTGGGCAAAGAAAAGATGTAGGTCCTAAAGTTTACTCTTGACTATACCCATTCTGTAGAAGATGAAGTCACGGATGCTGCCAACTTTGAGCATTTTCTTCAGGGGAGAAAGTGAATGGAAAAGCTAGGAATCTTGGTGGAGGTGTTGTAACAATTGAAAGAAGCAAAAGCAAGATTACTGTAACTTCTGAGGTGCCTTTTTCCAAAAGGTATTTGAAATATCTCACCAAAAAATATTTGAAGAATAATCTGTGATTGGTTATGCGTAGTTGCTAACAGCAAAGAAAGTTATGAATTGCGTTACTTCCACATTAATCAAGATGAAGAAGAGGAGGAAGACGAGGACTAAAACTCAATTATCTGGTGTATTTTGTATTTTTGTATGAGTTCTTGAATAAAACTTAGGAACCAAAAAATATATCTATATAAAAAGCAAAACTGTCCAGTCCTTCAATTATGTTTGCTTCCCCTTGAACTTACCCTATACACACATGCCTTTGTGTGTGTGTGTGTGTGTGTGTGTGTGTGTGTGTGTGTGTGTGTGTGTGTTGAAATCTAAAGAAGGTTTGTACCTGAATTAATAGTATTGTATCAGTGACAATTTCCTGGTTTTTTTTTTTTTTTTTTTTTTGCGGTACGCGGGCCTCTCACTGTTGTGGCCTCTCCCATTGCGGAGCACAGGCTCCGGACATGCAGGCTCAGCGGCCATGGCTCACGGGCCCAGCCACTCCGCGGCATGTGGCATCCTCCCGGACCGGGGCATGAACCCGTGTCCCCTGCATCGGCAGGCGGACTCTCAACCACTGAGCCACCAGGGAAGCCCAATTTCCTGGTTTTGACAGTGTATAATGGTCGTGTAAGATATTGTCATTGAGGGAAGCTGGGTGAGGCAGTCCATGGGAATTCTTTTTCCTTTTTGGCTGTGTTGGGTCTTTGTTGCTGTGCGCGGGCTTTCTCTAGTTGAGGCGAGAGGGGGCTACTCTTGATTGCGGTGTGCCGGCTTCTCATTGCGGTGGCTTCTCTTGTTATGGAGCACAGGCTCAAGGCGTGTGGGCTTCAGTAGTTGTGGCACGCTGGCTCAGCTGTTGTGGCTCGCGGGCTCTAGAGCACAGGCTCAGTAGTTGTGGCGCATGGGCTTTGTTGCTCCGTGGCATGTGGGATCTTCCCAGACCAGGGATTGAACTTGTGTTTCCTGCATTGGCAGGCAGATTCTTAACTACCACACCACCGGGGAAGTCCCATGGGAATTCTTTGTACTGTTTTTGCAACTTCATGTGAACTAATTCAAACTAAATATATATATATGTATTTTTTATTATAACTTTTTTACATGCATTCCTTTTCTGGGGGGGAAGGGTGTTTAATTGTATGAATTTTTATCATGTGTAGTTTCAAGTAACCATTACCATAATCAAGATGTGTATGTATATATACACACACACTATACGTCACTTATGTTACCCCTTAATAGTCATATCTTTCCCTCAGCCCTAACCTCTGGCAACCATAGATTTGTTCTCTATCACTGTAATTTTGTCACTTTGAAAGGTTATGTAAATGGAATTCTGTAGTATGTTATCCTTCAAGATTGACTTTTTTCATAAAGCCTAATGCCATAAACATCTATCCAAGTTGATGTTGCATGTACCAGTAGTTTGCTCCTTTTTGTTACTGTGTAGTAGTATAGGAACATGGATATTTTAATCATGTATTTTGTACTTTGCTTTCCACCTTTGAGACTAGATCTCATGTCCCAGTTGCATCAGGATATCAAAGCTCAAATCTTTTGTGCAGTTACCTGTGCCATCCAGAGATATCTGTGGTTGATTACTGAAACCCATTTAATGTTACTTAAGTAATGTATATAAAAAAGCTGACAATAAAGGCATAGTTGAAAATGAAGTGAGAAAGGTAAGGGGTAGACAAGAGTGCATAGAATTTTGAAAATGTCCAGAGAAAGGAGAAACTTAGGTCATTCTCCAGATTGTGTTTGACATGTGTTCCTATTATTATTATTATTATTAATTTGGTGGCACCGCACGGCATGTGGGATCTTAGTTCCCTGACCAGGGGTCCAGCCTGGGCCCTTCTAGTGAAAGCGCCGAGTCCTAACCACTGGACCGCCAGGGAATTCCCTCTATTATATTTTCACTGCATGTTCTTAGAGTAGTTTGAGAATAGACCTTTGGAATTGGCAATTTGTTTCATTATACTGTAGTAGCTTTTCGCTAGCATCCCCAAAGTAATCTCTTAGTGGCCAGTAGGTTACTTAAGCTGAATCTAGATCTGACCCTTCATTGATTTCTGGAGCTGGTTTTTCTGAGGAAAATGGTTTTAGGCCTGGTTATTACAGTGCTGTCGTTCCACATTAGAAGATTTCCAGAACACTTTCTCTTACAGCTATGGTGATAGATAGAGCAGAAGCTTATGTATTCTATTAGTGCTGAGCCCTTCTGGGCCTTGCCCTTGATATTTGATCAACTGGTGGAATTTTTCCATCTCTTTCATTTTGTTATCTGGTCTTCATCTTATTCAGGATGCTGAAAAATTCTTACATCTGCTGATGGTCTGAGGTATCTCTGACTCTGGAATTTATCATTGAGTATAGTCAGCTGAGTCTGAAAGATTTAGTTTTAGAGAACACAGTTCTTATCTTAGGTTTCTTGACTTGACTCTTATTGTCCTTTCATTGTTCTTATCAGAACCAATTCTATTGACACTATGGCTGATGGAGGAATTAGGAATAAAAAGGTAGGTCCCTAGAAGAAGTTGAGACTGTTGCTACAAATATGCTAAGACTTGGTTTCTCACTAAGGGATCACTTGGGAGATGACATTTGGAAGGACAGAATAGATTTTAGCCAGGCATATTTCGGGCAAGGGCAGTGAAATCCTTGTGTTTAGTACTTTAGCAGATGAAAACAGCTGAGAGTTTTATATGGTTGACAGTATGAACTTTGGGAAAAGGTAAGGCCACACTGTGCTGAAAGGAAACGAAAAAAGAAATGGGCTTTTTTCCATGGGGTGTGGAATGGGCTGAGACATAAATAGACTAATCACATGGAAGCTCTTAGGAAAATATGAAGCACCAGGGAAGTGAAAATATTATAGAGTGAAAGGAGTTACTTCCACTGTAACTAAAGCCGAGCAGTCAAGTCTAGTAAAAGCCACCATTTAAAAATATTTATTCCTTTATCTCTTTTGGGGTGAAAGAAATTGTACTGAATTTTCTTTTTTTCTTTGTCTTCCTGAAGTTCTCAGTATAATGTTGAACATTGAAGGGCAAGTGGTTGATTTCTCTCTAGAGTGCTTGATTTAAGATCTTATTGTTCATGTAAGGATTTAATAATTATGTGATTTAAAAACAAAGTTTCAAAAATTGTATAGCATTAAAGTGGAACCAGTAACAGAGCTGCAATATTTGAGGTGACAACCTCCTAGATTTTTATAGTAATGAAGCTGTTGATATTTAGTTTCTTTCTTTGTTTTCCCTAGAGGTTTTGCTACTTGTTGATGAGTGCTTCAACTTACACATTTATGATGATGTGGGAGTACAGCCACTATCTCTTGTTTCTTCAAGCAATATCTCTCTTCTTGCTAGATAGTTTTTCACTGGAGCAGAGTGAAAAGGTATTATGGCATTTCAAAATTATGATTTTAAATCTAGAGAATAAATGTCTTCATAGGGTTGTATAAAACCATTTAGCTTTTAAACTTAATTTGAAAGTTTTAATAGGCTCTGATTTATACTTCTACTCAAAAGGTTGCTAAAGTCATTCTCCCCTAGTCCTTTTAGAAGCACTTTGAAATTCCCTTAAACATGGTCTGCTTAACCAGAGTCACCCCTGTGCTCCTTCTCTATTTCTAGCCATTTCTCCATCTTCCCTTTCTGTTTCTTTTAAAAAAGAAAAAGGTGAAATATAGGAATGTACAAAAGAGTATATGCATGCTGTATATACAATGTATAGAAAAAATATGAGTATTTGAACACCCAGGCCAAGATATGGAGCATTATGAACACTAGAAGCCCCTTTTTCTCAGTCACATCCTGCTCCGTCCCCATCAGAGGCTAACTGTCCTGAATTTTGTTAATTCTTTCCTTCTTTTTCTCTATGTTTTTTTACCACCTATCTGTGTATTCGTAAAACTATGTTGTCAAATAATGTATTGTTTACTTTTGCCTGATTTGCTTCTGAGATTCATCCCTGGTGATGTACAGAGCTATATTTCATTCATTTTTATTTACTGATGTACTCTATTGCTGATGAACATTTCAGGTTTTTTCCAGTTTATTGTTCACATGACCAATGCTGCTATAACATTTTTATACATGTCACCTGGCACAGAAGTGCAAGATTTTTCTAGAATATGTAGTGGAATTACAAGTCAAATTCATAGTGGAATTACAAGTCAAAGGATGTGTACATATTCAATCTAACTAAAGATACCAAGCCTTTCCCCAGAATGGTTATATCAATTTATACTTCAGTCAGCAGTAAAGGTTCCCATAAACATTTTGTTCCTTTGTTTCTTTATCTTTTTCTCTTTTGCCCTCTCTTATCTTTTTTCTTTATTTATAAACATGTATTAAGTATTTAATGTGTTGTCTAAGCCAGAAATTTGGGAATCTTCTTACTCTTCTCTTCCTTTTCTTCAGATGGTCCTGAATTCTGATGAGTACCAACATTTAGGTTATTTCAATAGAGAGAATTTAATATAAACAATCATCAACCAAGTATAAAGTTGTTAACTTGTTAAATGAAAAGGTAATAAGTACCTGAAAGTATTATAGAGGTAGCAACTTCAGGAAGCAGCTACCACCCCTAGAGCTGAGGGCTGAAAGGAAGAATTTGGAATTATTAAAACGTAGAAGCTTAGAGGAGGGAACCCTGTAGAGCTGAAACAGACTTCTGAGGAAGGGCCACTGCTCAGCTTTGCTGTATCTCTGAACTGGGGAGAAGGGCTCTGTGGAAATGGGACCCAGACTTCTGAGAATGGTACTCTGGCCAGCTGATTCTGCCATCTCTGGGGTAAGAAGATGTGATAAAGCTCGTTCTTCAAGTGTTAGGGAAACTGCAGCTGCATCCAGCTGCCTTAACAGGAAGGAATTACTCTGTTGGAGTGAAGAAGCATTGCTGAGGTGATCCTCCCAGGAACTGCAGGCTGCAGTAAGGAACACGCCCCTGCTCTCTCCTCCAACCTTATTATCTCTCACTAGCATGGATTGGCAGAGATTAATAGGGAACCAAATGAAAAAGCAGAAATGTAGACTGAAGAAGCCGGCTCCAGCATTACGAGGCCGGGATAGAGGGATAGGTTTGGAGCTAAGAGAACCAGCAGCCAAAATGAAAAAAATAGAACATTACCAGCACCCAGAAGCCCTCTCTTGTCATTGCTTCAGCCTCCCGACAGTGAGGTATCTTTTTAAAAAATGGCTCTGGCCTTTTAGGGATTTTTTTTCTTTTGGTTTTTTGGTTGTTTTTTTTCTTTAACTTTTAACACTCTGCCTTTTGATTCTTCTCCCTCCCCCCAACTAGTGTCTATATTTTGTCTTAGTTCTCCCCTTTCTAAAAGGAATTAATTTTATGGTAGATTAAATTATTATACTATTGAATTTTAGAAAAGAAATATAGTAAGACATAACTTTCCTGGGAGATCTTCTATTAGGAAATTGAATTTAACTTTCTTATTGTCACTGTTAAATGGACCAAGTGCAAAATACTTTTCTCTGGTGCTACATTTCATGGGAGTATATTTTCACCGGGTAGGTTTTGGGAACTGCTGCTAATGGTTATGATTTTTGATTTATGCAGCTTGATGTTGCATAGATGGACAAGACAAACCAAGTGAAATTAAGTCAGAGCCTGGGATTAAAGAAGGTTCTTCCAGTCTGATTTAGACATCCATGGTTTCAAAGCTTTTTACTTTGCGGAGAGTTCTTTCTAAAAAGGAAGTGATAAATTAGTTACATCCCATGGCATTAAAACTATGAATTGAATGGTTGTAAATATAATACTGTCCAAAATTATAGTAGAGCATTTACTTTACAATTGTAGTCAAATCTTATGTAATGAAAAGATGTACAATAAAATTTATTTAATTCTCATTCATTTTATTTTTGTCCCAACAGGTTCATGAAGTTTATAAAATCTATATATTTTCTCTCTTTCTGGGATATTTACTGCAGTTTGAGAATTCAGCTTTATTGGTATCTCCTTTATTAAGTTTTGTAATAGCCTTAATGCTTGCTAAGTGCCTTCAGGTAATTAGAATTGCCTTTTTATCATTCTTGGGGGGAATTTTTAAATTGTTAATTTTTTTAAACCTCACTTCTTTGTTCATATAATTTTCCTCCCTGCATAGCTGAATGTGAAGAAAGGAACTTTCGTGGCTAAAATAATGAAAGTGATTAATTTTTACTTGGTGTGTACTCTGACAGTGACATTGAATATTATAATGAAAGTAAGTAACTCTGTGTTTGAGATTCATGTGGTAGAGCAAATTGAATAATGAAATAAATATACTGGGCTAAATTTTAACGAGAATAATGGGATAGCAAAGTAAGAGTTTGTACAGTAACATGTTTATTTGAACAATAATCATACCTAGTATATTAGGTGAGAAAATAGGATTCTGAGTCTTTCCTATAGAAATACTTTTTAAAAATTACACTTTATTTTTCATTTAATTTAAAATGTCATCATTACCCAATTAACACTATGTAATATACGGAATAAATTCAGATGAGTCAAAGACATTCAAAAGAGTGGGTAAGTTATTTAAGCCAGGTGGGATAAGGTTAAAATCTTCTTACCCCATTATAGTTTTATGCTTAACTATAAGGTAATGGGATTGACTGTGCCAATAAATCTCCTTGCTTCATAGTTACATCATGTATCTTTAATTCATATTTTTTGTTTTGTAGTCTTGCTGTATTTTCTAGTTCTAGTATTGGACTAAAGCATATTGTTATAAACTTAGCTAATAGTTCTTTGTTGTAACTAGTGTTTTCCTCCTTCAGATGTTTGTCCCACACAAAGAAAATGGACATATGCTGAAATTCCTTGAAGTAAAATTTGGACTAAATATGACTAAGTAAGTTTTAGATTATGTAAGTTTACATAACTCTATACCACTTAGAAGATAAAGAGCAAAAATTATCAAAGGAGGGAGTACACACCTAATTACATACCACTTAGAAAATAATTTGGGATATTACAATATCTAGAAGAAATAAGACATTAATACTTTGCTCATTTAAAAAAAAATCTCATTTAGGTCTTTTAAAATTAGATATACTTAAACCTCAATAGCATCACAGTATGTTGAGGCTACTTTCCTTGACGAGGAGTGATGATACAATCTAAGGTCAGAATAAATTAAAGATTTAAAATGAATAAAGAACCAAGGAAATTTTAACCACTAACTGCAAAATGTTATATTACAAAGAGTATGGGTGTAAATCAGCTATAGTTCAATAAAAAAAAAAAAGTTCATGATATGCTCCAAATCTATACTTTAAAAAAAAAAGGGCATAGGCATTAAAAATGGGGTGGTCAGTAAGATATTTATTTCATAGCAAAGAATCTTATCTTTGATCATAATAGTGGATTGGACCAGAAGCTGACTTTTTAAATTCAAAGATAATGTTGTACCTTTTGTTGTTTAAATGCATTTTTTAAATCTAAAATGAAATAAATAATTTTATGGACTGATAGAGTCCATTTGCATAACAGAAAAAATATATTTACCTATACATATCTCTAGTTCATATAGTAGACCGTAGAATCTTATAATTGTTTGCTGGGATTACATGGGATTTTAGATACTGTGAATGAAATTTTATGTTGTGATATATCAGTTAACCAAGTGTTTGACATTGCTTAAACACTGGAGAAGTCTTCTGAAGTGTAAATCGCATATGGCTATCTAGTAAGATAAAAGGATCCTTTAAGAGGCCATGTGCTTCATAAAGGTAGGGACCATGTCTTTTTCAGGTGTATTTGTAGGCCTGACACTCAGCAGGCAACTAGTAAAAGTTGGTTGCAGACCTCCATAATTGACTGGCCTTTTCACTAACTTTCTCTTTAGCCTTGGAAGACTCTGAGCCTAGCATTAAGGTCTGCTTTTGTCCAGTGTTTCTTAGTTGATGTTTTATAGTGCGCCTTTGTTCCTCACGTCAGGTACTAGGCTTCACAAGGTAATATACTGGGTATTTTAAGATTAAGGCTTATTAATCTTGTCCTTAAGAATATTGCTGGCTCATTAGATAGTTTTTATACAATTAGTAGCATGGGTGGTATAAATAATAAGTGCCTTGTGTGCAAATGTGCCAGTTGGATATCAGGATTTGTAATTCACCAGAATTTCAGGAGACATTTCTGTTGAGACGGAATTTTAAGAATCAGTAAAGAGGGCTTCCCTGGAGGCGCAGTGGTTGAGAGTCCGCCTGCCGATGCAGGTGACACGGGTTCGTGCCTCGGTCCAAGAAGATCCCACATGCCACGGAGAGGCTGGGCCCGTGAGCCATGGCTGCTGGGCCTGCACGTCTGGAGCCTGTGCTCCGCAACAGGAGAGGCCACAACAGTGAGAGGCCCATGTACCACAGAAAAATAAAATAAAATAAAATAAAGTATAAAGATGTTAAAAAAGGGGCTTCCCTGGTGGCGCAGTGGTTAAGAATCCGCCTGCCAATGCAGGAGACATGGGTTCAAGCCCTGGCCCAGGAAGCCCCCACATGCTGCAGAGCAACTAAGCCCGTGCGCCACAACTACTGAGCCTGTGCCCTAGAGCCTGCGAGCCGCAGCTGCTGAAGCCCGCTCGCCTAGAGCCCGTGCTCCGCAACAACAGAAGCCACCGCAATGAGAACCTGTGCACAGCAACGAAGACCCAACGCAGCCATAAATAAATAAAGAAAAGAAAAGAATCAGTAAAGAAGTGTTAATAAATATTTATTTAATGTGCAAGTTACTGGGCCAGGTGCTCTGGGGGTTACAAAAATGACTACAATCTAACGCAGAGCAGATTGCATTAAGCACTATAATAAAGGGATAATTAAAGTGCCATGGGAATATGGGGAAGGAAGGATTGAGACTGGGGTTATGGAAAGAATATCATTAAATTGGAATTTGAATTAGACATTATAGAATTAGTTACTTTAGTAGGCAGATTTTTTTAAAAAGTGCTTTCGTCCTAGGTACAAAATATTTTGATGGCAGCCTCTTTGATACAGTTGTGTAGCTGTTTGGCACATTGTGAAACTTTAACCTTTTAGTTTCAACCCAGTGATTTGTGAAGCATTCTCAATCCATCCGTGAGCACTCCTGAACATCATTCCATCGCTTACCTCCTCCTCCAGGGCTAGGAATTTGAGGATTAAATGGAGGTTGAAGATGGATTGGGAGTGAGAATGCAGATAAATCTACGTATAACTAGGAGGCTTGTTGATTGTATTTAGTGTGGGTTAAAAAAAAAAGTTTATCCTGACTGTTATAGCTCAAAAAACTTACATTTCAAATTTTATGATTTCTGTCTTAATAATTAGATACCTCTTTTTAAAATGGGTCCTAGTCAAGTTACATTTATCAATATAAAACAGGGCTGTCTAATAACAATATGACATTAGTTGCATACATAATTTTCTAGTAGTTGCATTAAAAAAAAGTAAAACGAAACAAGTGAATTTAATTTCAATAACATACTTTATTTAATCCAATATATTAAAATATTATTTTAATGTGTAAACAATTTAAAATTATTGAGATATATTTTGTATTTTTTAAATTCCTTTTTTCTTGACTTTTTTATCTTTGAAGTCCAGGGTGTATTTTGTGCTTAAAGACTATCTCCATTTGCACTGGCCACATTTCATGTGCTATTAGCTGCGTGTAGCTAGTGGCTATCATACTGGACAGTGCTGTTAGAGGTTAGACAGTTGAATTCTTTTGTTATCTTCCAAGTAAAAATAGAAAGTAAAACTCCCCTAAAACTGTATTGGGTTCTAGAGGTGGTCACATTGCTGGATCATAAAAAAGTAGTAGTTTTAAATTTATTAGGGCAGTTTGTTGAGGAGGGTTACTAATGCTATTTCATTTATAAAGGGTATGACCTTTCTGTTGTAAGTTAACGGATTTAGGAAATGCATTTAGTTCTGTCTTAGTTTTTACTGAGATGGAAAAAATAATTTTAAGTTCAGTACTTTAAAACATCTGTGATTTTAATATCATGCTTTTGTTTTCTGTAGGAATTTTACAATGAATTGGCTCCTATGTCAAGAATCCCTTCAGGCACCATCTCAAGAATTTTTTTTGCGATTGACACAGTCTTCTTTATTACCTTTCTATATTTTAGTGTTAATTACTTGTTTTCTTTCTGTGATTCAGGTTGTTTTTAGGAGAATTAAGTAAGTACCTAGGAGAACCAATCATATTACTAACTAATAAATTATGGAAATATATAAAACTTATTTTTAATATCCTTCCAATATTTGTGTGTTTTAGAGTTTCTAATTGAATTCTCTCTTTATCAGTGTGTAAAATATCATTATAAGTTAAGTAGATGAAATTCAAATTTAAGCCTTATACATCTAAATATGTAATATTCATATTTATTTATTTAGGCAGTGCCGGGTTTTAGTTGCGGCACGTGGATTCTTTAGTTGTGGCATGCATGCGGGATCTAGTTCCCCGAGCAGGGATCGAACCCAGCCCTCCAGCATTGGGAGTGTGGAGTCTTACCCACTGGACCACCAGGGAAGTCCCTGCAATGTCCATTTTTAATGCAGGAATAATATTTAAATAATCAGTTAAACTTTTACAGACTCATTCACTAATTTACTCAGATTTTTAATTTACTGTAAGCATAATTTTTTCTACTTACTTGAAACTAGTAGTATAAGTGATTTTAAATTATAAAGTTTGACTATTTAAAAATATTTTTATCAAACTTGAAAGGAGGCTGTGTGTAGTAACTTAATTTTGAGAACTTAGTAATTCAAATTATTATTTAACTATATTGATTTAGCAATCACTAGTTTAGTGATAATTCATCTTGGAAAAGGAACCTATGTATCTTTTTTATTATATTTCCTGAACTTTCATGTTTAGTCTTTATTGAGGCAGTTGTCTTCAAGCTTCAATAACCATTTTCAAAAACTTGGAGTTACCTAAGTTAGGTATTTGACCAGCAGAATATACTTTCAAATTTTAAGAACTACCTTTATTTTTTTATGAAGATATTAAAGATCTTTGATTTTTCAAATAAATATTTTCAAAGTAGTAAAAAACACATTTCTTTCAGTAGTGGTAAGTCCCTGAAAGAAACTATTACGCTTGAAGATGGACAAATTGGAGAAAGGCCAGAAATAATTTATCACGTGATTCACACTATTTTATTGGGCTCTCTTGCAATGATTATAGAAGGGTAAGTGTATATTTGAGCCATTTGTTTTTACAAAGAATTGTCCTTTCTAATGGTAGTTAATGGATACTTTCAAGAATACATTTATAAAAACACTATAAAAACTCAAAAAAACCTTAATCTAACTGGAGTTTAGAGAGGTGTTTATAGTCCAGTGAACCGATATTTACTTAGTAATTTATTTGTTCAAAAACTATTGAATGTTTTCCAAGGGCCAGGCATTGTGCTAAGTGCTGGGGGTACAGTGGTGGACAAGATGCTCTAACCTTATGTGACTCATGGTCTAATGAAGGTGACAGATGCTAACCACACAAAAATAAAATTATAACTTTGATAAGCGAAGGAGAGGTAAATGGTGTTATGAGGGTAAGGGTTCAATATACCCTTTTCTTTGAAGTTTGACTCAGATGAGAAATAAGACATAGGAGTATGAAAAAAGTGGGGAGGAGGTTTCTTCATACCAACGAACAATTCTCTGGACACCAGCTGGGTATCCTACAGTTCAACTCAATTTTGACTATCTGCCAGAAGTACCATCAGAATCTACAGGCTTGGGTTCAGTCCAACAAAACTCCCCTGCTACCTCTTCAGACACCAGTTACAAGTCCAGGTTGTCACCTGTGTTTCTGGTGAACTGGCTATAGATCAGAGGTTCCCAAGACCCCCTCCTCAGGTTTGATTAATTTGGTAGAGCAGCTCACAGAACTCAGAGAAACATTTTACTTACTAGATTAATGGTTTATTATCAAAGGATATAAATCAGGAACAGCCACATGGAAGAGGTTCATAGGGCAAGGTATGGGGAAAAGGCTGGAGCTCCCATGCTCTCCAGGAGAGAGAAATCCCTACATGTTCACCAACCGGGAAGCTCCTGAATCCTGTACTTTTGGGTTTTTATGGAGGCTTTATTACATAGGCACTATTGATTAAATCATTGGCCATTGGTGATTGAACTCAGCCTCCAGCCTCTCCCCTCCCCAGAGGTCTGGGGGGGTAGGACTGAAAGTTCCAACCCTCTCATGACCTGGTTGGCTCCACTGGCAACCAGTCCCTATCCTTAGCTGCTTTCCAAAAGTTATCTCATTAACATAATAAAAGATACATTTAAGCTCTCAGCGCCTAGGAAATTCCAAGGGTTTGGGGAGTTGTGAGCCAGAAACCCGTGGTTAAAAACCAAATATATATGAGAAATATATTTTGGTCATCTGATAAAAGTTGCATTGGAGAACTCTTTTTCATGTGTGACCAAAAGGCCTTTGAATATCTTCCACCCTAAACTGAGTTTAGTCCTTAAATTTCAGGCCTTCCCTCCTGAATGGTCAGAGCCTTGGTAAACCTGCTGCACCTATATACACCCATGCTGCAAAAGGAAGATCCAAAATGTAAAAGCCTATAAGTGTTTGTTGAGTATTGTCACCTCACACTCACAAATCAGATAAATTGCTGCCACAAGGAGGAGCAGTTAGGGTTCTGAAGTATAGGGAGGGGAATAAAATCAGGGAGAGGTGAAGAATATTGATATAGTATAAGATTTAAGTTTCCTTTAATTATGAATACAGATACAGAATCACAGTCATTTTAGCAGTACCCGTGGTGCTTTCACCAACAGAAAGCATAGTTATTTTTTCATTGTATTGGTTTTTTACAGGCATCTTGAATATTGTTTATATACATCACTACTTCAAAATTATAGTAATTATTAGACCTGCATTTAATGTATTAATAAACAAGTACAAATATTGCTGTATTACAAATACAAATTTTATTATTTAATATCAGTATTTCAGTATAATTGGTTTCCTTTGTAAGCCTATGTATTTTATGCATTTAGAAATGTTTTCTTATAAGGGGGTCCACAGACTTTATCAGACTGCCAAACCCATGACTAGGGGGTATCTCTATGGAAACTTGAAGTGAGAATAAGGTTCACTCTAATAGTTAGCAATCCATAGTACCTAAGTAGGATGAAGAAGTGTATTAATCCATGAATATTTTAAGTGATTCAGGGTTTGATTCTCATCTTGTTGCCTAGTAGTACTAGAATTTGGAGCATGGTTTACCTTTTCCCCCTCCTTCCCCTCCTTCCTCAGTTTTATTTCTCTCTGAAAAAGAACTTTTTGTTATTCCCACCATTCTTCATTGTTGGATCTGTCATTTTAAGTTCAAGATCCCTTTTTTGAACATGTAATCTGCATTATTCTATCATTGGTCCTTAATTCTCTAATTTACTCACTAGACCTCTAAGACATGATCATCTATTCATGCAGATAACTTGCATGGTCCCCTAGGAGGTACCAGGCACTCTACCAGCTAGGCAGTAGGGATTAGAGAGATATGAAATCTAGTCTTTTTGAATCTTTTCAAAGAGTTCCTATTCTAGATAAGTAAAACAAGAGCTAGAACAAAGTAAAATACTATGAGAAAGGTATACAGAGGGTGCTCTGGTCATCCAGAGGAGAGGTACTAACTTGTGGAAGGTAGGTAGGGGAAATCAGCTTAAGGGAGATTTTCTAAACAGGGCCACAGTCTTGAGAGATAGAGATTGGCCAGGCTGTCAGTTTTCTCACGTGTGTGTGTGTGTGTGTGTGTGTGTGTGTGTGTGCATGCGTGTGCGTGTGTGTATAATAATCTGGGAAAAAGAAGTATTCTTTGGGAATCAATACTATGGGATGAATGTGAGGGAAATAGCGAGATATGTCTGGAAAAATAAGCAGGGAACAGATCAAGTGTTTTAAGCAGAAATTTGACATGGTCAGCTTTACTCTTCTAGGGAAAAGCTCTCTGGCAATGATTGAGAAAGATTTGAGGGAAATAAGATTAGAGGAAGATAAACCAGTTAAGAAGGTATCATAGTAGAATCTAGAAGTGAGTAGCAATAGAGATGGAGTAAAGGGGCCAAAACTAAGATATTTGGGAATTGGAAACTAAATAAGGAGTTGCAGGGACTGTGGTGGAGGGATCCTAGGAAGAGTTGCAATTCAGAAGCCAAAGGAAGAGTTTTTAAAGGATGTGATCAGAGAGAAAGGAAGATGAGGAAAGAGAGATGAGTGTAGACTTCAAGAAGTCTGGCTATACAGGGAATCAGAGGCTAAGGCAGCAACTAGAGAGGGGTGCAGTTTTACCAGGAGGGAGAAACTTGTGTGCATTATGGGATGGAAACACTGAGATTGTTCTGCAAACCCTGGCTGGAACTCTAATCATTTGGGGAAATAGCAGAAAAAACTGAAAAGGTATGTCGGGACCATATTTTAGAGGGCCCTGAAAACCATTTGGGTGAGTTTTCATTTATTTCTGTAGGTATTGGGAAACTAAAGAGTTTTAAACAGAACATATCTTCTCATAGTTTTGTTTGAAAAGGATTCATCTGGCATTTGGTTGAATTGAAAGAGAATTTAAAAGTTGAGATGTTAATTAGCTGGCTATTGAAATAAAATGGTAAGGAGCGGTTGTATACGAAGAAATCAGTGGATTGGCACAATGGTCCAATGTCTAGAGCAGAGAGTTTGTGTTCCAAGGAATGTCATATACATGTAATTCAATGTGAGTAGTCTCTCCTGGAGTTATAAACCAGACTCTAGTATTGATTCTGGCTGACTGGAAAAATAGGTTTGGTATTTTCTGAAATGGGGAAGTTATTGGTTGGAGGAGTAACTGGTTAACCAGAGGAAACGAATGCAATTCCTCTGTCTTAGCAACATGTATTCTATATACATCCAGTTACTTCTCTCAAAGCCTGATTCATTATTCATTGTTTTAAACCTTAAATACATTCTCAAATTTGTCCTTTTGCTTTCATATCACCCTAGACATTATATAAATTTTTATACTTATTTTCTAATTGTTTCCCACGTGTTCAGTTTTATTCCATCTTAATAAAGCCCTCCTTGAGGGCTTTTGTCATCAAAAAATATATCTTAGAAGGATCTTATTGTTTCCTTAGTCTTAACTACAAAAGTTATCTTCTGAGATGTTATTTTTCCTTGATAATCTGTGTGAAGCAATGACATCCACAAAGTTTTCTAAACTCTTCCTCTTCTGTCTTCAGCTTTTACCATCACCTAGAGTGATGGGTTTCTTTTGTTTCCTGTACAAGTTACAACTTAAAGTAAGGTACTGCCTTTTATTTGCACAAGTTCATTTTTCTGTACACCTGGATTTTTAATCTTTTTAAGTTAAGGGCCCTAATTTTTCAATCCTGTTTTTAAAAAATTAATCTCAAAAGTAATAATGCAGATTGTGTAACAAACCCAAATAATATAGATATGTATGAAGTAAAAAATGAAAATCCTTCTGTCCCAGTCCTCAGAGGTCACAACTGTCAGCAATATCTTTTCAGATGTTATTTTTTGGCTATACTGCATATATGTACATTAGAAAAAAAATTACCAAAATAGGGTAACAGTATACATAAAATTTTGCAGTTTGCTTTTTTGTTTTTCATAAGGATTTATTATTTAATCAGTACCTGTTGAAGGATAGTTAGGTTTCTTTTTTTTTTTTTTTTGCAATTAAAACAACATACTGCAGTTAAAACCCCACATGTATATCTTTATACATTTATGCTAATATGTCTGTAGGCTAGTTTACTAGAAATGGGATTGTCTTGTATTTAGAATTTTTATAGGTTCTGCCAAATTGCCTTCTGAAAAAGTATAACAGTTTATGTTCTCTCCAAGAGTACAATTTTACTACACCTCATCTATATTAATGTCTTATTTCATCCTCATTTTAGTAACCCACATGTCTCTTGATTATTTAAGAAGTGAGTAACAATATGTTGCTGAAAATTAGAGGCTAAGCTTTTTCATTCTCCTTCGACATTGTGGTATTTTCATGAGTATTAGGAAAGAACTCAGAAAAGAGAAATCACATAATAATGATGTTTATAGGATAGCTCATGTATGACTCTGTCTTTTCCAGCTTGAAATACCTCTGGACTCCTTATGTGTGCATGTTAGCAGCATTTGGTGTATGTTCTCCTGAACTTTGGATGACACTTTTCAAGTGGCTTCGATTACGAACTGTACACCCAGTATTGTTGGTGAGTCATTGTTATTTTGTGTTAAGTTCTTGTTTCTCTTTCAGTTATATAATGGGAACCACATGAATACAATTAAAATAGCATGAGTAGGGCTTCCCTGGTGGTGCAGTGGTTAAGAATCCTCCTGCCAATGCAGGGGACACGGGTTCGAGCCCTGGTCCAGGAAGATCCCACATGCTGTGGAGCAACTAAGCCCGTGCACCACAACTGTTGAGCCTGTACTCTAGAGCCCATGAGCCACAACTACTGAGCCCGCCTGCTGCAACTACTGAAGCCTGTGCGCCTAGAGCCCATGCTCCGCAACTGGAGAAGCCACTGCAATGAGAAGCCCGCACACCGCAACGAAGAGTAGCCCCCACTCGCCCACATGAGAGAAGGAGAAAGCCTGCGTGCACCAATGAAGACCCAACACAGCCAAAAATAAATAAATAAATAAATTTGTAAAAAATAATAGCATGAGTAAATCGCATTATGATTTATAGGTAGAAAAAAAGAAAAAGATTCTGTGGCAAACATTTTTTAATAATTTCTGATTATAAAAGTAGGGTGTTTTCAGTGCAGACTACTTAAAAAATAGAAGGTAAAAATATAAGTGAATCAATGTGAGAGGCTTTCAAAAATTAATTTTGATAATATTTTTCTCAGTTTGATTTAGAACTATGGAATGTTTTCAGTGAGAATGCAACATTTACACTGTGTCTGCTATGTGTAATATGCTTGCAGTAAAAAGATAAATAAAACATAATTAGGGGAATTCCTTGGCAGTCCAGTGGTTGGGACTCCACACTTCCACTGCAGGGGGCACAGGTTCGATCCCTCGTTGGGGAACTAAGATCCTGCATGCCCTTCGGTGCGGCCAAAAAAAAAAAAAAAGAAAACAAAGAGATTAATTTCATCAAGTGGATTATAGTCTCCCAGTCATAAAAACAGATAAGAAGTGTTGATAGGGTGCTGTTGGAACAGAGAAGGGCTAATTAATTCAGTTTTTTTAGGGATTCCCTTTGATGTATTCAAAGGGAATAAAAACAGAGGTAGAGAAAAAGCACGATATATTTAGTTTTGTTGGCACATAAAATGTGAGATAATAGTGGTCAAGAAATGAGACTGGAGAAGTCGAGGAGGGTAAGGTCATCGAGGTCTTTGAGTGTCCTGTCGTGCTTGGTGCTATCCCACAGGCAGTAGGAAGACATTGACATGTTTATGCAAGGGCAGGGGAGACTCAGCCTTACATTTTCTCTCAGCTCACCCTTATAGTTCTGTGAAGGATGGGCTTAAGGGTGAGAGACTGGAATCAGGAAGGAGGCTGTCACCCAGGTACAGGCCATGGAGAATGGAAACGATAAAAACTTCAATTGTTTTGAGAGCTCACTATGTGTCAGGTACTGTTTGAAGCATTCACATGCTATTCAAAGCTTACAAAGATCCTGTTAGTTAAGTTTTATTATCTGTATTTTATAGACAAAGAAACTAAGGCATAAAGTGGTTAAATAACTCACCCAAGATCACATAAGTTGTAAGAACCGTGATTCACTCCCGGGTTCTTCTAGCTCCAAAGCCCATTTAATTAATACTGTACTACACTGAAGTGGAAAAAATAGTTAAAGAGTAATAAGATTTGGTGCCTCAGTAAGTATGGGAGAATGAAGAATAGGGAGAAATCATAGATGTTTCTTAGGTTTTGGGTTTGTGTGACTGGATTGTGGGGTCACCAACAGACATGGGACAATAGGAAGAGAACAGGTTTTGGTAGGAAGATGATAAATTATCTCTAATAATAGTCAAGTTGTATTTTGCCAGTCTTTTTCCAGAGGAATTTATGCATTCTTATCTTAGCATAGTAGTATATTGATGTATATTGGCTATTTTTCCTGTGTTAATTCATTGTCTTTTTGTTGTTGTTAGCTATTTTCATAGCAGTTCAGTGTTTTTTGTAAGCTCTTCATAAGTTAAATTCCTGGAAAAATTGTCAAATATTGACTTACTATTTGAAATATTGCGATGTGCATTACCCTTTTTATGTTCTGCCTTAAATTTATATTGCAAATATGTATTTCTCACTTTGTCTCCAGCTTGATATAAAATTTATTATTCTTCACCCATCTCACTCTGTGAACCTAGGTTCCATGCTGACTCCAATTTCTCTGACTGAAATTGTTATAACTGTAAGAATATTTGATTGGTCATAGAGTCAGTGTCTAGTACCTCTATAGTACATTCTGAAATATATTTATCCATAACCCTTTTTGCTTTAACATTTTAGGCTCTCATTCTGAGCATGGCTGTCCCTACCATAATAGGTGTCAGCTTATGGAAAGAGGTAAGAAAATTAGATTTTTCATAAGATGAAAATATATGTTATCTATAAGGTAGTGATAAATTTATATGTGTGTGTAGGATACTTATATTGGAACAGTATTCTAACAAAATAAAGCGTGATATACTTAATAATACGTAATTTTCTACCAATAGGAGCATGATACAAGAGGTAAAACATTTTTACTCTGATGCAATTTTCTGTAGTCTAATACTGGTATTAATTCAGTTTATAATTGACAAAGGAAATGGCTGAATAAATGGTATTTATTAGTAAATAGTAAAAAGTATTTTGGCAATCCCCAAATTTAAATCTTTATAAAATAATGTAAACTCGGGCTTCCCTGGTGGCGCAGTGGTTGAGAGTCCGCCTGCCGATGCGGGGGACACGGGTTCGTGCCCCGGTCCGGGAAGATCCCACATGCCGTGGAGCGGCTGGGCCCGTGAGCCATGGCCGCTGAGCCTGTGCGTCCGGAGCCTGTGCTCCACAACGGGAGAGGCCACAACAGTGAGAGGCCCGCGTACCGCAAAAAAAAAAAAATAAAAAAAATAATGTAAACTCTTTGGCTTATCATAATGTAACATGAAATTAATTGCCAGTAAACCTGTGAATTATTTGACTTGATCTGAAATTTATTCGTTTGCTTACTTATTTATTCAGTGTGCATGTGCATGAAAGATACAACTGATGATTAATTGTTTGGTTGATAAAATTATGTATTGAGCGTAGGCAGTGAATTAACCATACAGTAGATTATTTGGGCTGAGAAGAACTAGCAAGAAACTGAAGGAGAGTAAAGCAATTCATGCCATTTTTTCTGTGAGAACAGTGTTGTAATATTGTTTGTCAGAAGTTGGCCTCTTAGTCTTTGGAAGTACTCTGAAACAGTTTTAAACTTTCTAATTACTTACACACAGGTTTTGGGGATTTTGTTTTGTATTTTAGTTTTTTCCAAGATTAATGACAGAATTAATGGAACTACAAGAATTTTATGACCCAGATACGGTGGAACTTATGACCTGGATAAAGTAAGAACTGAACTGCCCAAGACTGTTGTTAAGCTATTAATTAATCATTGAATGCTATTTAATGGATTCAGGGGAAATAATAAATTAATCCTTTTCCAAGTTCTTCTCATAAATCTCAGGGATTTTACCCTGTATTTTTAGGGATATTTAGTTTTCATTTAGACATATAATTCTAATTTTCTAATTGAACTCATTTCCATCAAAATATAGTATTGATAAGTTTTAGATATGAAACTCTAGCTGTTAAACATCTAGAAATGTGGAATAAAAAGGAACCAATGTTCTTTTATTTAGATAGTCAAGAGATGCTTCTTTTAACCGGAGTTGGAGGTGAATGAGCGGTGGATTTCTAGTCTTGATAACCAAGGTTAACAAGATTTAAAATTTTAACACTCATGCAGATTTTAATATGACAGGAGATGTGCTCTTGGGCCTGTAGAAGCTGGGAATTTTAATTGAAACACCTCGTTCCCTCCCCTAACATACATATATAACTAAGGGACCCTCAAAGGGCTACACTATCAGTGAAAGGATGGACTATCACAAAATAGCCATCAAGTGGTTGAGAAAGATGATAAGAAAGCATATCTTCCTCGGTTTCAGCTCTTGGTCAGAAATAAAGTGTCTCCTCTGAATTTGTAGCAGTGCATCTGAATTCACATGTTTGTAGTTTGAAATTATACTTGTCTAATCCAGGAAACCCTATATCAAGAGATTAGCATAAAAAGTGGTTCTGGGATGGTCTGGAGTGCCTGATATAATCCTCAACCCAGGCTACCCAGGATTTCACAAATAAAGCTTCATGAAGATAAGCTCTAAAGTTACAAAACACATGAAGAAACAGTTCAACACAGCAACAATCAGTTGTTGGTTGTGATAAGCAATAGAAGTAGACTTCTAGCAATTTCTGATAATAAAATTTGCTTGTGTCAGTTTTTGCTGCACAGTGGACTACCACAAAACTTAGTGGCGTACAAACAATAAACATTTGTTATTTTGCACCATTTCAGTGGTCAGCTGAGTAGAAGCAATTGGTAGGATACTTCTGGTCTGGGCCAGATCATCTGGGACTGGATAGTCTGGCATGGCCTTTCTCACATGTCTAGACTGGGTAGGTGTCAGCTGAGGTCATGGAGTTGACTTAGCCACATGCTTCTCATTACCCAGCCCAGGTGAGACTGGGCTCATTCATAAGGTGGTGGTTGTAGAGTTCCCAAGAGCAGCAAGAGAGGACAAGTTGCAAGGTCAAGCATGTTTTAAATCTCTGCTCAAATTATGTTTGCTGTTGTCCTATTGGCCAAAACAAGTCACATGACGAAGACCAGCATTTCCTCCAAGAGCATACCTATAGAAAAGAATCATTGTAACCATTTTTCCAACCAGTCTACCCTATGGATAGAGACTATGAAATAGTATGAAAAATTTTAAACACATAGAAGAAGAAACTAAAACTTGAAAAAGGAATGAAACACTCTCAGAAAAGGCCAGGATAATAGGGGAAAAAAGGCAAAAAATGTTTCTAGAAATGAGGAATAGGTTTATAGAATAGGTATATAGAAATGAGAATAATAGGTCTTATTATAACGTCTCATTATTATAATGACACCTCTTGTATGTATAAAAATTATTATCTTTTTAGACCATCCTTAACTACTGACTATTAATACTTTTTTGTGAATTGTGTTTACCTTTTTGGAACACTGACTATATAGCCTTGTGTTGTCATTAACAAAAGAGAAAGTCACATCTATGTGTGTGATTTACCTCAGTGTTTTCAAAAACAGCAAAGGCCTGAACATTGGACCTTTTACATCAAATGATTGGACATTTATGCCACTGTGTTGTGATTTTTCTGTTTCATTTTTGTTTCCCCATTACTGAGGGCTCCTTGAGGACAGTGGCTGTGTGCTGTCTCTCTATTTTCAGAGTTTGACAATATCACTAGCACATAGTAGGTAGATGCTGAATGTTGAATACAGGGAGGTAATAAATAAGTCAGGACATAAGAGCAGCCCTTTGGGACCTGTCTTGTGAGTGGCATCTGTCTGGGACTTTGGATTATGATTTAGGGTAGAGAAGTCCTTCATGTGTTATCTGGAGATAGACATATGGGTAAAGGTAGGGAAGGAGCAGGAGGATAGATGGATCTGGAAGGAGTTGGGTTCTGGTGGTTAATATTTGCCAAAGACGAATTTGAGAATTCACAGTATCAGCATTGAATTGTCACTCCCATTACCCTGCATTATTTTTTAATAGCATTATTACCACCTGACCTATATGCTTATCCTCTCCCCCTGCTCCCTATTGAAAGCAGGGACCTTGTCCTCCCACCTCTCTTTTTAAAATATTTATTTATCTTTAGCAGTCTGAGCAGTTTCTGGCACATAATAGGTGCTCAGTTTTTTTTTTAATAAATCCAAAAATGAAATGAAATGAAAACTGACACTGAAACTTAAGTGTGCAATACATTTTAAGTTGCTTGGTATTTCAGAATTGTGATAAATCAGTGATCTAAATAGTATACTTACCTTTTCAGTGTGTGAATCTTTATGGTTCTTTGCAGAAGGCAAGCTCCAGTCGCAGCTGTTTTTGCAGGAAGTCCACAGTTAATGGGTGTGATTAAATTATGCACTGGATGGATGGTGACAAGCTTGCCTCTTTACAATGATGATGATCTTCTCAAGAGAAATGAAAATGTAAGGCATTTTAGATTCTACATTTGGATCATTTTTATTTGACTCCTTAGTATAGTTCTGTAATGATGCATATGTTCCTGGTTAGCTAGGAAAATCCAGACAATTTTAGAAGAGTTAATTAGCTTTAGTTTTTTAAAAAAGCTGTATAATACATTTAATCAAGAGAGGCCAACATTAGAATATGAAGTTCTTTGTTTTATGGAAAGTATGGATATGTTTCTAGGAGAAACACTTCATTTCCCATAAGGTTTCAAGGGACTGATGTGTAATATTTTATAAAGGGAAGCATTCTTTTGAGAATAGCATTGTTCTCAATCAAATTATTGAAGGAAGGCTTTCAGTTAATGTCTTTATACACTTTGTATTTCCAAGCCAAAATTCTATTATTGCTTATAAAACACTGATTGATTTTTCATTATGGGCTATTATTAATAACTTAGTATAACATTAGTATGGTATCTAATTGCTTCTTCTTCAGAGAATATATTATTTTGCATGTTTGGTATGGATTTAAATAGTAACTTCATATCTGAAGGTAATGACCAACTGAACCTGAGTTCTAAATATTCTGTTTTTCAGTTGGAGAGAATTTCATGTAGTTTTTAAGTATACTCTAAGCTAAGGAGGAAGTATAGCAATATAGAAGTTAGACTCTAATACAAAGGGTAGACTCTAAGCTTTGTGACCTTGAGCAAGTTTCTGAATCTGGAAGTAATAATAATTCTTACCTCCTAGTTGTGAGAATTAAATAAGATAATGCACTATGCCTGAAACAGTAAAATTTAAGTGTTATCTAGTATTAATATGTACTATTAAATTATAATTGTATGTGCGCACACACATTCACATATAACCACAGAAAGTAGAGAGGAGTTCAAAAGCAGGAGCAGTCAGTTCTGCCTACAAAAATCCAAGTCTTCATAAAGGGCATTTGCTTGATCTGGGCTTTGAAGGATGACTAGAAACTTGTTTGGAAAAAGAATACAGTGATTCCAGGTTAAAAAAGTCACATGAGCCTTGAAATTTGTTTGGCCGTGAAACTGGAAAATAAATAAGGCCAAATTCTGGAGGACCTGGAAGGTCATGCTTAAGAATTGAGACTTACCCTAGAGGCATTTGGGAGTCATCAGAGACCTTTCATAAGCCCAGGAGTGGAACCTTAGATCTGTTTTAGAGTTAATGAAGGTCCGGGAACAGTTGAAGCAGGGGAGAGGTCAGAGACCGGGGAGATCTACCTTGAAGTGATTTACCTGAGAGACAACAGCTGCCTCTGATTAGTATTTGCTGCAGTTGAAAAGGTAGTGTTGCTTAGAAGATATACTACTGCATATTCCTAAACTTTACTTTTTGTGGATTTAAACCAACAGACTCTGACATGGCTTTGTTTTCTTTGTTGTCTTTTGATTGGTCTTTGTCCTAATATAGAATTTCAGAATCACTTATAATTAGGTCAGAGTTCTAATTAAATTTAAACATTTTAGAGTTTTTAGTTTTATGTGACTTGGCTGTGAGAATAGGAACCATTTTTTTTTTCAAATCTTGGTCTTTCTATATGGTGTCTAGTATATAGCAAGTACTGAATAAATTTGTTGTTAAAATAAAATTCAAATTGAACTCCGTAAGTGAGACCATACCATTTGAATTAGACACTGTCTATAATTCATAACATGGGACTGATCTTTATAATCAGTGATTATAGGCCAGTGGTTCTCAAACCTGGGAAGATGGTGCTCCCAGGGGACATTTAGCAATGTCTGGAGACATTTTTGGTTGTCACAGCTGGGGGAGGGGTTCTACAGACACCTAGTGGGTAGAGACCAGGGATACTCTTAAACATCCTCCAATGTACAGGACAGCCTCCATTCTGTCCTGACAAAGAATTATCTGGCCCAAAATATCAGTAGCGTTGAGGTTGAGAAACCTCACTCTAGTCTAACAGTAATGTTATTGCCATTGCATAGAGGTGTTTTTTATAGGCCCCAGTAGTATGTTACAGTTTCCCCAAACTTAAAAATAAGTAAAAAAATATATAAAAAACTATAAATAAGTATAAGCTGGGTAAGATTCACATGAACTTATTTAACAAAGTGAAATGAGTGAGAAACTTCCTCTTGATTTTTTAACATTCTGTGTTCCACAGAATGAGTATCTCTAGCATCTCAATGGACATTGGACCTAAAGTTGCTAGATAGACAGCAGCCATAACATGTAGTAAGCAGCTGCTGAAAATTCTGCAGATAGACTGGAATCTTGTCCAATCTAGGTTGCAAATCTCAGTATTTTCACAACAAACAGTATATGATACTTTTAGCCTAACTTTTGTGGTTATCCAAGGTTAATATTTCAGGAAACCTGAAAAACGTATTAGAAGATCCAAAGCTTATTATCTAATAAGGTCAGCAAAATTGTAATGAAAAACACCACGTAATCAAGACATGAGTTTTAAGCATGCATCCCTGTCCTTTCAGTATTTGTGACAAGGGTCAAATTATTTTAACCTCACTGACTTTATCTCATGTATAAAATGAGTATAAAATACTATGATACATGGTAATAAAAAAAAGTAATGGAACGATTACAACTCAATAATAAAAAGACAACCCAATTAAAAAAATGGACAAAGGCCATTTGCAACAACATGGATGAACCTTGAGGGCATTACGCTAAGTGAAGTAAGTCAGATAGAAAAAGACAAATAGGGCTTCCCTGGTGGCGCAGTGCTTGAGAGTCCGCCTGCCGATGCAGGAGACGCGGGTTCGTGCCCCGTTTCGGGAAGATCCCACATGCCGCGGAGCGGCTGGGCCCGTGAGCCATGGCCGCTGAGCCTGCGCGTCCGGAGCCTGTGCTCCGCAAATGGGAGAGGCCACAACAGTGAGAGGCCCGCATAACGCAAGAAAAAAAAAAAAAAGAAAAAAAAAAAAAGAAAAAGACAAATATTCTGTGATATCACATATATGGAACCTAAAAAGGCTGAACTCATAGAAACAGAAGAGTTGTGGTTGCCAGGGGTTGGGAGGGTTGGAGAAATGAGATGTTGGTCAAAGAGTACAAACTTCTAGTTATAAGATGAATAAACTCTAGGGATCTAATGTACAGCATGGTGATTATAGTTAATAACACCGTATTGTATATTCGAAAGTTGCTGAGAGTAGATCTTAGATGTTTTCCCCAAAAAAAGAAATGGCGATTATGTAACATGATGCAGGTATTAGCTAAAGCTATGGTGCTAATCATTTTGCAACATATGAGCATATCAAATAAACATGTTGTACACTTTAAACTTACACAATGTTATATGTCAATTATATCTCAATAAAACTGGGGAAAAATGGGCAAAGGACTTGAATGGACATTTCTCAAAAGAAGATACACAAGTGGCCAATAGCAGATGAATATAAGCATCCTGAGGGAAGCAGTCAAGTCTTAGTGAATATCTTTATTTTCCACAGATAGTACTGAGAACGTAGTAGAGACTTAATGTATAATTTTGATAAACAGAAGTTTTAAATGTCTTTTAAAGTTGTTGTTTTAATTATATTCTTTCAGATCTATCAAATCTATTCAAAGCGATCTGCTGAGGATATTTATAAAATACTGACATCCTACAAGGCTAATTACCTAATTGTAGAAGATGCTATCTGCAATGAGGTGGGAACCGTGAGAGGCTGTAGGGTTAAAGATTTATTAGACATCGCAAATGGCCACGTAAGTAACCATTTGGAAAATTAAATGTTTTTGAGAAAAATGGCTTTATTTAAACTTATAAAAGTATCTTCAGGGCTTCCCTGGTGGCGCAGTGCTTGAGAGTCCGCCTGCCGATGCAGGAGACGCGGGTTCGTGCCCCGTTTCGGGAAAATCCCACATGCCGCGGAGCGGCTGGGCCCGTGAGCCATGGCCACTGAGCCTGCGCGTCCGGAGCCTGTGCTCCGCAAATGGGAGAGGCCACAACAGTGAGAGGCCCGCATAACGCAAGGAAAAAAAAAAAAAAAAAAAAAGTATCTTCAAACTTTACTTTTGGAACTTAACTAAGAATATAATTAAAAGTTATATAACAGTGGGGGGGTGCTTATCAAAAGTAGTTTGAACTATTTCTTCAATGTACAAAAGAAAAGTTGGGCAATTTTGCAAAAAAAAAGTTTACCAATATCTCGATTCCTTATTTGTTGCCTGTACTTGTACATGTTCAACATTTATAAATAAAAGATAGTTTGTTTTGAATGATGATTTGATTTTAACATATTATAAAGAGCAGCCGTTTGTTTTGTTATATTCTTATGTTGAGAAATTTCTTGTAATTTGATACATATCTAGAAAAATTGCTTACTAAATTGACATAGTCCTGTATATTGGGTCCCTATTATCCACAAAAATTAGTGTATTCAGAGCTACTTTAGTTGTTAGGATTTAACTGTATCTTAAGTTTTCATTGATTTTAGCTATTTTACCAAGCTTTCTTACTTCTCAGCCTACAGTGTATACTGTATACCTGGCAACTAAGACTGACAGGGGAGTTTGCATATCTGGTAATTAGTGTTTGTATATCTGATAATTAGGCACTGGAAAGGGTACCTTTACTCCTGGGAAAGTTGGGGGTGAAGGATCTTAGGCATAGTTCAGTAGGTCATTCTTGTTTGGAGTGCATATTCCATTCAGGTTGCAGCCAAGACTTTTTCTGTCCCTTCCTAATTAATTAGCTCTTTGTCGTAATCATCCCAGACCAGTTTGGAGGTGAGAAATTAGTTTGTTGGGTATTTTTTGGGGGGGCCACGCTCTGCAGCATGTGGGATCTTAGTTCCCCGACTAGGGATTGAACCCACGCCCCCTGCAGTGGAAGCACAGAGTCTTAACCACTGGACCTCCAGGGAAGTCCCGAGAAATTAGTTTTTATGATTTCCACCTTTCGCTCTCTTCATGACCCCTTAATCTTATAATATAAACTTATTCTGTTTCCTGCTGCATGTATTTTGAATTTTCTCTGTTGGCACTTGATATCTGTGGTCTTTGGCTTAATTGGTGACAAAATGGAATTTTATTAAACATCAGGTATTCAGTAATTACTACTGCATTGCTGTCTGCTGTCTAGAGCCTTATCCTCTGCTCTTGGCTACCCTCTTGCTCCATTTTGAAGATCAGGTTACTTCTTCTTTCGTGTAATGCCATGCATGGACTTAAAGCGAATCCATCCTTTTATTCTTTTTTTTTTTTTTTTTTCATCCTTTTATTCTTAAAGTTGACTCTCTGACATCTTTCCTAGGCATTAGAATAATATTTAGTATTTTATTATAGAAAACTCTTCAAGCTAGCTAAGCTATCTTAGTGAACCTCATTAAGGTGAAAATGTAAAGAATTGTACTGGATAAGTCACAGAAACTTGCTTACTAATGTGAGTCAGTCCTGCACAAGGAGAAGAGTGTGAATATACATTAAGAGTATGTGTCCATCTCTCAGCCTTGGTAGGTTCCATGATAAGGTTCTTCAGAGGAATGATAGACTATGCAGACACAGCCTTCTAAATTTTAGGATTAAATCTTTTAAAAATTGGAAAACACTTTATACTGATTTCTCAGTCTCAATGGGAAGCTCAAGAATTTAGTGGACATGGTAACTTATGAAGAGGCTTTTATTTGCTGAACAATATGAGATATTTGCTAACCAATGTGAGATAGTCCATGTTTAGCAATAATATTTTTTTTCATATAAATATCATCACTTGTACATTGATTGCATTTCTCCTGTAAGCTTAATAAGCTTTTTAATATTTTGTTTCATATCGTTTGATAGGTGGTTTGTGAAGAAGGTGACAAGATAACCTATTCAAAACATGGGAGATTTTGTCATGAGGTCAAAATTAACTATTCTCCTTATGTGAATTATTTCACTAGAGTATACTGGAACAGATCCTACTTTGTGTATAAAATCAACACTGTGATATCCTTTCAGTCTTGAAAAACAGCAGAGCCTTCATTTCAAAGACTTATACCACCTGAAGTAAAATGCAATTTTCTTCTACCTACGTGGTATCTTTTGGAAATCAGAGTATGGACTTTTGAAATGTTGCTGCTGCTTTTCCCCTCCTGCTGTTAACTGGATCTAGATTTCTGTGGGGGAAAGAAGATTAAACATTACTGTCCTTTGGTAAAATGTCAAACCTGCCGCTCTGCATCGTTCCAGCCAGGTGTCTTCCTTACTGCTACATGGTCTTTAAAGATTTTACCTTCTAAACTATTGTAAAATTTTCCTCATAAATCTTCATTCCATCATAACATTAGTCTTGAATTTGAATATGTTCAAGGTCAGAGTATATATCTCAAATATAACATTCAATAAATAATTAATGTGATATAATTATAGAATAGAAGGAAAGAATTATTCTTTCCCTCAAGGAAGTTTCTGAAGGTATTTCATGATGTATAATAGAACTGAAATATTACAATAAAAAACTAATTTAAATGTTCACTGAAAATTTGTGGCATTTAAATTAAAATGGAAATTATATAAAGGAAAGTGATTTTTAAGGATATACATAAAGATATATCCAGATTTTCCATGATACTGCCCTCCTCATCTGCCGCTTATGTAAATGAGCACTTTCTTAGTAATATACAGTGTATGATATTGCATTTCATCACTTTATGACTATTAACTGGTTAGTTTTTTCACTTATGCCCATAAATTTGATACCAATTTAATCATGATAAAACAGTAACTCTTGTTACCTATATATATTTTTTTGGTTTGTTTGTTTGTTTTTTTTGCAGTACACGGGCCTCTCACTGTTGTGGCCTCTCCCGTTGCGGAGCACAGGCTTCGGACGCGCAGGCCCAGCGGCCATGGCTCACGGGCCCAGCCGCTCTGCAGCATGTGGGATCTTCCCGGACCGGGGCATGAACCCGTGTCCCCTGCATCGGCAGGCGGACTCTCAACCACTGTGCCACCAGGGAAGCCCACCTCTGTATTTTTTAAAACAGACATTTAAAAGAATGTTCAAAATTTAAAAATAAGAAAAAAATAAAAGTATGTTGTTTAGGTTTTTAAAAAATATGGATATGGAGTATATAATCTATTCACATGTTTTCTATTGAAGTATTAAGTAAAAAATTAAATCTTTATCAGAATGAGAATATGAGCAACTAAAGTGAGCAACAATTTCTGGAGATATATGCAGATGCTGTTTAACATACCTCTGCATAGAGGTGTATTTATGATAAAACACAAGTGCTATTATTTATGAAACGATGGTACAATCTTAAACATTAAGAATTATAATAAAATTCAGAGGACAGTTCCACAATCTGTTATGTTCCTTTAAGTTAAATGTTTTCATATTTTTAATTATTAATTAAAAGGAATTCTAAATGATTAATTTGGCCTTATAAAGAGATTCAGGATGGATGTATCATTTTAATAAGATGGGATACATATTCAATTTTACCTTATACACCTGTTAAGTGAACAGATTTAAAATTTTTTCACTTGTCAGAGTGCTGTAAAAATTGCAGTTTCATTACTCTGAATTACTACATTAGAAAGGAACATCTTTCCATTTTCTTTATTTTCTGTAATATATATTTTAAAAGTACAAAAGCACATGCATTCTTAGATTAGCTCTAAGATGTTTTGTTCTTTTGGAGCTTAAGAATTGTTTGATGGCAGTGTCATATGTCTGGTGCATTAGTTTTATTGGTTCTCATTTCACGTTTTTATATAACTTTTAACAATTATATTAAGATAGCTACAGGCAGGTTATTTCAGGTTCTCTGTACATCTTAATAGTGAGTCACTAGTATTTAGCTTCAAGCCTTACGAAAATATTACCATAGTTACCTAAGTACACAGTGAATAGTCACATGGTAGTACTTACAATTAGAGGGAGCATGTAAAAGAATGTAATTTAAAAGTCAGCTTGCATTTTTTTTTTTTTTTTTTGCGGTTCGCGGGCCTCTCACTGTTGTGGCCTCTCCCGATGCGGAGCACAGGCTCTGGATGCGCAGGCTCAGCGGCCATTTCTCACGGGCCCAGCCGCTCCGCGGCATGTGGGATCTTCCCGGACCAGGGCACAAACCTGTGTCCCCTGCATCGGCAGGCGGACTCTCAACCACTGCGCCACCAAGGAAGCGCAGCTTGCGTATTTTGAAAGGGAAATAGAACAACCTACTTTCTACGTAGCATGAAATATTTAATTGAATTTTTATTGACTTACTTTATGATCAAATATGCTGAATTAGTTTTGATTGTTGTATGTTTTTTGTTTTTGTTTTTGACGTATTAGTAACTTGCTTTTGCTTGTCAACTTATTTCTTAAATAAAATAGGTTTGGATCCGTTTTTAATTGAATTTTTTAAATAATGAAGTTTTCACTCAGCATCAGTTGAAAAGAAAAATGTGAACTTTATTATAGAAATAATAATACTGGGTATGAAAGATAAGCTTATTTGCTTCTATTTTAGCTGTAGTTAAAACAATAGTGCTAGAAAACTTTCAGGAGCATTTAATTAATTTCCTTATTTGTAGAGTAACAAATGATTAAGAATTCTGCAAGTAATTCCATTTGGGTAACTTACCGTTGTTAGGTATGACAATAAAGATCTACTGTGAAAGGGGCAAAGTTTATGGGTTTGGGGTAGAAGGAATTTCTCAAAGAAATACAAAACATAAATACTTTGCCCTTGATGTTGCAAAACTATTGAAATAAGTGCCTTAATAAGGAGGTTAAAATAAGAACGTTAAAAGTAAATAAAAGTTTACTTTTTATTTTCAAAAAAAATTATCCATTTCTTACTTTTTCATGAGAAAAGTTTGGTAACTTTTTCCTCATCATTAAGCACAGAGAAAGAATCCTCACTATGCTATTTTCACTATTAACTTTAATTCATTGGTAAGCAAATCTTTGTTAAGGGTAGTGATGGGATTTCTAGCCTGCTAAATTAATTTATTTAGCTTCTCAAATGCCAAACAATAGAACAAGTAAAACTTACTTGATAAGGTGTATGATATTGACTCTGCTGGTTTACATTTTCTCTAACTTTGGCATCTGTGTCTTGGTGCTTTTTGTTAGACTGGTAGGGTTTTACAGCCTATGGAGTATGCATTGCACTTCTAAATTTTTTTCTTCATTACTTTCTGAGTATATACACAGCATGTTTTTTCAGGACATTCACCCAAATTGCTAAAAGCCTAATGTTATGACACTTCCGTACAGTCTAGATTGATTCAAGGAAAAGTAGAAATGGAGGTCAAAGTGGGTTACAAGTTGGGGCTGAAAAATATGCTTTAAAAAAATAGGCTGTTAATTTCTTGAAAGGAACAGTGAATAGCCATCTTATTAAACTTTGTTGTTTTGGGGAAATCAATTGGTTTTTGGCCCTTTCTGTTTTTGAACTGTTAAAACATTTTGTTGCCTTTTGTGGGTAAAAGTAGTGTCTCTCTTTATAAAATTGTTGGGGTTTCTAAAAGTTGTATGTAAATCAATTTCTTGGTAAATTTATTTTAAATGCATGACTATTTAAAGGGCATATATTATGAACTACTCTGTGTATTCAAGAACCTATTGTAAAGCAAATAACTACTTCCTGATTTACATCTCAATATATTATCTCACTTGTCCAGTTTTTAAAATATACATTCTCTATTGTTGCTATTTGCTAATAGTTTTAGATCCCAATATGTATTAAAATTACACCTCTGAAAGTTGCAAGTAAAATTGAACAATTTCTTATTGAAATAATAGCTCATTATTTAGTTTCTGAATGTGTAAAATTAATACTTTAAATAAAGTTAGTTGTGAAAATTGCAAAGGAATGTATTTGATTCAGCCATTTTCCATCCATTAAGGTTTCTAAGCATTGTATTTGTTTTCCGTAATAAAAAAAAAGGGGGAGCATTTTAGAACCATATTTGCTGAATTTAACATAAAAGCATCTCTGAATCATTTCTGTTTAGAAGTCTCTTAGAATTTGCAACATTCTAATTTTGGTATGTATAATCTTATGTGCAGTTTTTTTTTTTGGCTGCACTGGGTCTTTGTGGCTGTGCGCGGGCTTTTCTCTAGTTGCGGCGAGCGGGGGCTACTCTTCGTTGCGGTGCGCGGGCTTCTCACTGAAGTGGCTTCTCCTGCTGCAGAGCACAGGCTCTAGGTGCGTGGGCTTCAGTAGTGGCACGCGGGCTCAGTAGTTGTGACTCACAGGCTCTAGAGCGCCGGCTCAGTAGTTGTGGCGCACAGGCTTAGTTGCTCTGCGGCATGTGGGATCTTCCTGGACCAGGGATCAAACCCGTGTCCCCTGCTTTAGCAGGCGAACTCTTAACCACTGCGCCACCAGGGAAGCCCCTTATGTGCAGTTTTATAAGAGATACACTGAACACCTGACCACTGTATTTAGTGGAATAATAGCATCAAAAAGAAATATGCATTCCATACTTATAGTGTAATATCTCATAAACAACCCTTTCATATTTTAAATTAATAACTTTGTACAGCTATTTAACAAAGATGAATACAACTGATTTTATGTATGTTGACTTTTTTTTTTTAATGATTTTTTTTTTTTTTTTTTTTTTGCGGTACACGGACCTCTCACTGTTGTGGCCTCTCCCGTTGCAGAGCACAGGCTCCGGACGCGCAGGCTCAGCAGCCATGGCTCACGGACCTAGCCGCTCCGCAGCATGTGGGATCTTCCCGGGCCGGGGCACGAACCCGTGTCCCCTGCATCGGCAGGCGGACTCTCAACCACTGCGCCACCAGGGAAGCCCTCCAGAGATTTTTAAGTGGTTGTTTTTTTAAAAACTCATTGTCACCAATTAGGTTTTTTCATGGGGGCTCCTCACGCTGCCATTCCAACTGTGGGAGTGTATATGTAAACTTTAAGGCTATTAAGGACTGGAGAAAAATTTAGCAGATCATTTACAGTAGCTACTAATCAACTTTCTCTCTTGATAGTGTCATTGTTAAAGAAATAGAATTAATAGAACTATTGCTTAGCTGAAAACTTGGGGCTAGAGGTATTAAATGCAGGAATGGCTATTTGTCAGTCTGATAAATGTCCTATATAAATGAAAAAATAGGCTCAAGTAATTGATGCAAA